CGGTATACTCGTTTAAAAAGGCCATATTTGATGCACCGCGGACGCTTGGAACCTTTCGGGAAAATTAATCCTGCAATTGGCAAATTAGTTCAGAGGGGGGAAAATTATCAGTAACGTAGATAGCACGGTCTATGAAGTAAAAACATTGACTTCCCAACACAAGTATGTTAAGGCATGGCCAAGACCCAAATTTGCTAATCCGTAAAGATTTCATATCTTAAAAAAAATTAAGGCATCCACAAATTTGAAAACATATTGCAATCCCTAAACGGCTGAACAAGATATTTTTTTAAGGGTCTTGAGTTTTAAGGTAGCTGAACACAGTCTCCTTAGAAATGCTCTATCCCTTGAGTGTTAATTAACATCTTCATTACGAAAAGGTACGCAGAAAAATGACAAGATTTTGTCAGTGGAAGTTATCCAGGTCCTTGAAGATCCACTGTTTGTCTGTTTGTCTGTTTTCGTACCTTTGACATACCGATTGAGTGATCTCACTCACGGACTTAGACTTTCTCAAAGTCCTTCGCTTCTCATTTCCAGTTCCGGTAGTTGGTCCCGGCGCGAAGGACTTTTATCCCCTGCAGTGCGCCAAATTTACAGGAGGACTTTTTCTCCTGTAGGTTTTATCAGAAACTCATAAGGGGTTGAAACGTGTAACTCTCATATGTTTGCTTTGTGCGATGCTCGTGATTATTCATTTTCGAAAGTACCATATTTGGAACGAGAAGAAAAGATAACTGACCAATCAAACTTCGTAAACAACGTGATGTAATTTTTCCCGCGCCCGCTTAAAAAAATGGCCGACAAATGGGGGAAAAACTCCCAAAAGCCGAGAAAGCTTTCAAAGGTTGAAACCAGGAATCGTACCGAAACACTGAGCAGAAATGTATTATTGCCTTACCACCCGGGCCAAACGTAACGTTATGAAACCCACTGACGTCCTCGCAACTTCTTGAAGTTGTCACTTCAAAAAGCGATACCTCGTTGACCCTCTGCACAGTAAACTTATACTGCAAATAGGTTTTTAAAATTCTTATATTAAAAGTCTAGAATAAACAGTAAACAATATTTTCGAATAAAATTCGTTAGCTGCGTATCGAAAGAGTGTCCAAAACCTAAACCTGACATCTTCGCAAAAAGAGATGCGTGTAATGAATGTGAGAAGCATTTAAACTTAAATTCAGCTTGGATGTTGTAGTCACGATCGTGTTTTGAGCTAAGTTTATGAATGAACAAACTCAAAACAATAGACAGAGAAGCCGTTTCTTGAAAATTTTTTATTCAAAGTCCAAAAAGTTAATCCTTTAAAGCAATTCGGAAAACACTATCTGGATCGTGGATCCGTTCACGCAAGTGAAATCGGCAGAGCACTTGGCAAAATTCAACACAAAATCCATCTCAAATCGGGGCACATTTTGTAATTTTTCTTTAGCGCCGAAAAGAAAAATTTATAAAACGTCTATGAAACATTTAAAAATACATAAATTCCCTTTCAAAAACGTAATTGTCTCGGCCACAGAGTGCAAAATGTACCTCAAAATTCAGCAAAAACTTCACTGCCTTGGTTGAAGAAAACAAGGTTGAATTCCTCGAAGGATGATTTCTTGATGAAAAGCTTCCCTTCCTCCACAAAAAGAAAGCTGAGCATTCTTTTGAACTTTCTCTTTCCATTTTTTGTCTTTTAACGGTGTATTTTTAACCCTGAAATGCAGAACTCTTGTCTTAAAACACCTGCATGGTAATCACGCGGCAGCCATTTTGTTGAAAATGGATATCTGTCACTAAGGTTTCCAAATATGGTAAACATGAATATTCACGAGCATTGAACGCGAGTTACACGCTTATGAGTTTCTGGTTTTATCCAATCACCAACGGTTTCAATGATGCGCCGTCAATCAAACTCGATCACGCCACATAAAACGTGACTTGATCACTTGAACTGTGTATTTTTTGCGGGCTTTATTTCGATTTCGTTTTATCGCCAGTATTCAGATACAAAGCTGTAGTGGGCGTTTNAAAAGCTTCCCTTCCTCCACAAAAAGAAAGCTGAGCATTCTTTTGAACTTTCTCTTTCCATTTTTTGTCTTTTAACGGTGTATTTTTAACCCTGAAATGCAGAACTCTTGTCTTAAAACACCTGCATGGTAATCACGCGGCAGCCATTTTGTTGAAAATGGATATCTGTCACTAAGGTTTCCAAATATGGTAAACATGAATATTCACGAGCATTGAACGCGAGTTACACGCTTATGAGTTTCTGGTTTTATCCAATCACCAACGGTTTCAATGATGCGCCGTCAATCAAACTCGATCACGCCACATAAAACGTGACTTGATCACTTGAACTGTGTATTTTTTGCGGGCTTTATTTCGATTTCGTTTTATCGCCAGTATTCAGATACAAAGCTGTAGTGGGCGTTTTATGTTCCTCCATTGGAGTACTTTACCAAGGTCGGATTTTCCTGGCAGCCACGGAGCGAAAAAACATTACCGACTTGTTTTGTTTTGAGCGCGCGCACTACAAAGTTTTTATTTTTTTATGTTTTCTTTCATGGCGTATGCAAACCTTGCAACGAGCCCGAAACGTCTGGAGACTAAGCTCACAAATATCACAAGACGACACTTTTGTTCATTACCCGTTTTTTGTATTGAACATTCCTTTATTTACTTCCTCTTTTCGGAATGTTTTTCCGTTGTTTGTTTGTTTTGACATACTTTGACAGCTCGCGACCACACAAACACGCGACAACACACGCGACAGGGACGCAAATAGTTCGCGCCAAAATGACGTCACTTGATGCGATTTTTTGCAGGGGAAACAGGTCGAGCTCTCCCTTTCTCGCTCGCTTTTACAGCAGAAAACATAAAAAATCTACCGCTCGCGCTTCGCGCTCGTGAAAAAAATTGAGCTCGACTTATAGGCAAGTCTATCACTCACTGCGCGCATAGTCTTGAGCTTGCGTACTAAGGGAGAAATGTTTGAGCCCTTGTTGCCTTGTTTTGTTTTGTTTTTTTGTTTTTATCGTAGGCAATGTAAACGTACGAGAATATCTTAAAAACTACTCACTAAAATTTGAAGAAATTTGGCACAATTCCCGTTCATACTGCACTCAGTCAATGATAGCCTCAAAATAGATTTTGGACAAAGGAGTTTTGCGAAACAATCAAGCTTTTACCTTCAAAATTTCAAAAACTGTTTGTTACAATTTTATTAATCATCCCTGTTGACATAGCAACGATCGAAATCTTACTTTTAACCTAATAAATGTAATCTCTTATTAACATATTTTGTCCGAGCCAAATTTGAGCGTTTGACCTTCCGCGAGACTTATATAACACCCCCAATGAATGGTAACGATCCACAACCTATCAAACTGTGTTCAGCCACCTTTATACGGTATACAGTTTCACTGTATAGCGTATTGAATCTTCTCGGACCGGAAGCGTTTAGTTTAGGAGAGTGTAAAGGTTTGCCATGTGCTTTCTACATTTGTCGTACCAACCGCGGTTTCGCACAAAAAATCTTATCCCATGATCTGGCGTAGTTTAAAAAATTCACTTATTATGTATGCAATTCTTATTCTGAGACAGGGTATACAAATTTGCTATTTATCGTCTTAACAGGGTGATTTTTTGGACCGGAGGCCCCTAAAAGGCGATGAGTGGTCTACATTTGTGGTACCAAATTTCTCTCTCTTTTTAAATCTAATTGCATGATGGTAGTTTAAAAGATGTTGAATTCTGTGTGCGAAACGAAACGACTGAGGGCAAGATTAACAGTCGTCATTACAATATTCTGCATTGGTTGCTTTAAGGCAGTCGCGCGCGGCAGTCTCCCCGGGCAGCCCTCACTACCTTGGGAACACCATGTTACAAATCCTCGCTAGTCTTGGGACATTGTATGTTAGGTCCGTCTTTCCTAGAAGTCATAATTAGTCGAAAATTCTGGTGGTTACTCAGGCAGGGTCAGTCTAAAAGGCTTTTAAAAAAATACCAAAAAAGTTATTAAAAACATATTTTCACTTTGCCGGTGTTTTTGGGCAACGTTATCGACTTGGGCAAAAGAATTCATGCGGTTACTAAGGAGACAGGTCACGTGATCAAAAATAGCTTAATCTTACCTCGAAAAAATAGTATTCCAAATAAGCTTCATACAAATTCTTATCCTTTCCTAAATCAAATGAAAACTGGCGAATTCGTTTTCACGAGGAAGAAAAAAACTCCCGAAACGAATGCAGGTTATTTCAACATGCCTAAAGTCCATACAGACAGGATCGATGTTTTAACACTCTTCACGTACGTGCTTCTGATCGGTTACGTTGCAAACGTATTCAACTCACAGATGGTATTACGACTGTCTATTCTACTTTGTCATTGGTCAATGTCGCTAAGGAATCACGTGAGATGTGCGTGCGTAACCAGAGCGTTCACCTGCAAGCTGACATTTGCAGCGATCGCACGAAGATTTTCTTATGGGTGATAATTCCTCTTCCAAAGCCTTCGTCGAAGACGCGAGGAATTCCTCCCCGGAGGAGATCGAGGAACATGATTTACTTGCTGAATCTACACTCGATAACAGCGACTCGCTGCTGAGTGTACTCAATTCCTTGAACGAAAACATGCCGGAACCGCGTGGCAAGCTCGATGACTGCCATGGGCGATTTATTCGCTGCTTTGTCACAGCAACAACGACCAGCAAAACGAAACTCTCGTGCTGAGAATTTAGAACCCTTAGCTGGGAGAACGACAAAGCGGAGAACTTGTGTTAATGGTTCTGACAGTGACAGTGAGGACGACGTTTCCACTCTCCTAAACAGTGGTGCTGATCAGAACGAAATACAGGAAATTGAAAGTGACACAACGCTGCCCGCCAACACGCAGGACTCCTGCAAAAGTGAGGGCGAAGACGAACTCTTGAACAAATTAGCCCTTGACTTCACCAAAGATGATAAAATGAGCAGCCCAGTCTCAAAACAACTAGCTGAGATTATAAATAAGAGATGGGCCTCGAAACTGAGCGACCACAATCTCATGGAACTGAGCGAGAAATACGAACGGCCCGAAATTACCAGAAACTCGCTGTTCCTAAAGTTAACCCCGAGATATGGGGGAAATTGACCCATTATGGGAAAAAGCAAGACCTCAGGTTGTCTGCCATTCAGAATAAGCTGGTCAAGGAAGGAACGGTAATTGCTCAATCAGCCCAGAACTTAATGGACTTCAGAACTAAGGGCGCGAACGGCGGCAAATTCGATACTGCTGTCGCGCTTACAAGTCAGACTGATGTTATCGCGCTGTTGGGACATACAAATTATGAGCTCTCGTTATGTCCACGAGAGGCCGTCAAACCCAACTTAAATAAGGAGTACGGCTCTTTATGTTCTTCTCAGACACCAGTCACAACCTTGTTGTTTGGAGACGAACTTCAGGCCCAGCTCACTGCAATTCGGGCCTCAAATCGAATTAGCCACACAGCTGTTAGCCACAACAGCGGCTCCAGCTCTTCCTCTAACCCTTCTTGGCGTCAGGAACAGGACAAGCCTTTTTTAGGCAAAGGCCAGTACCAGCCCAAATGGAAGCAAAAACCGTGAGACAAAAAGGAGGAGCCCATTAAAAAATAAACGAAGACTTTACTTCGAAACTAAACTCGTTGCGGGTAACTGATTTTGTAGGCTTTGTTCCTACATTAATTGCATACCTTGTTGCAAAAACAAGCTGCTTCAAAAGCAGTAGGCTGGCACAATTTATTCCCGCTTAGCACCAAATGACTTCAGATACTGAAATTCTTCAAATGGTATCAGGCCAATATATTGAATTCAGTACCCAGGCCTTCTCAGACACATCCTCCAACAGGGAAACGTTTTAGTGGGGAAGAACAAGTTATTATTACCTCTGAGATTTCCAACTTACTTGAGAAAGCAGACGAGAATTAATTTGACAAGCGAAAAAAATGGCTAATGTTACGTCAATTTGCACAAAGCTTCTCGATGCATCCCAAGTTAAAATGGGGGATGTGGCACAAGCCCTTGGCTACATGGTATCTAGTTTTCCAGGGGTCATGTTTGGCCCACCATACTTCAGACAACTTGAAAGGGACAAAACAGAAGCCTTGAAATGCAACAATGGTGTTTTTGATGCCTTTATGATAATATCAGAGAAGGCCCATCAAGAGTTAGAATGGTGGTTTATGCATGTTAATTCTAGCTACAATGTCATAAGTCATGGTGAGCCCACCATTGTCCTGTTCACTGATGCCTCATCCACTAGGTGGGGCTGTTCATTAAATGATATTTTTACAGGTGGAAATTGGACTGCCGAACAGGCCAACAACCACATTACTTACCTGGAACTGCTTGCAATACATATGTACTCCTTGAATTGCAATCTTTTTCATTGACAATAAAGTGACAGCATGTGAAGATCATGGTAGATAACATGACTGCACTGTTTGATACAAACCATATGGGTACCAGCAGTTCTGAAAAAAAGAAATGACCTTTCAAAAGAAATTTAGCTATGGTGTTCCGAACAAAACGTCTGGCTCACAGCTGTCCACGTTCCAGGTGTGGAGAATGTGGAAGCTGATAGACAGTCTAGATTGCCTGACTCCCCACTTAAGTGGACTCTTGATAACACAGTTTTTAAAGATTGCATCAGTGAACTTAGTGTTCTCCTTACTATTGATCTATTTGCATCCAGGATAAGTCATCAACTTCCAAACTATGTATCCTGGTGCCCTGACCCAGGGGCTGTTGCAATAGATGCATTTCATTTGTCATGGAAAGAATTTGTTTCTTATATTTTTCCTCCATTTTCTCTAATGTCTAGAGTGCTACAGAAGATTCAGCAGGAAAAAGTTGAGGGGGTCATTGTTGTTCTAAAATGGCCAATTCAAACATGGTGGCCTATGCTGATGCAAATGTTGACCGACAACCCAATCCTCCTCCCAAACAGAAAAAACACTGCTGACTCTTCCTGGAAACCCAGCAAAGATTCCCCCCCCCCCCCAAAACCCCAACACAAATTTTTTTATGCCCTCCTTTCTCGAGCCCCCTTTCAAGCCCAAACAATTCAACCCAACCTTCAAAGCCATCTCATCACCTCCGGGCGCCTACATCTTGCAGCAAGAAGACTAGAAAGAAAAAAGTTGGGGGGGTAATTTTTTTTTTAAAAGGGCCAATTCAAAAATGGGGGCCTATCCGGATGCAAATTTTGCCCCCAAACCCAACCCCCCCCCCAAAAAAAAAAAAACCCCCTGCCCTTTCCTGAAAACCCCCAAAAAATTCCCCCCCCCCCCCCCTATATCCCAAACTAGAATTGTTGATGTGCCACTTGTCCGGAGATCCCTTGAAAGCCAAGAAATTTCAGCCAAAGCTTCAAGGCTTATCATACAGTCCTGGAGGTCTGATACTGCAAGCCAAAACCAAAATTACTACAAAAAGTGGGGATTGTTCTGCCGTCAACAGAACATTAATCCACTTCAAGCCACTTTACAAGATGGTATAAACTTTCTTGAAGAGCTTTTTGCTACTGGGGTAGGATATAGTTGTTTAAACACCGCCCACAGTGCCTTGTCATCGTTAATTGTGCTCCCAGGAAGCATTCAATTTGGTAGTCACCTGCTTGAAACTAGATTTGTGAAGGGCGTGTTTGAGGTTTGGCCAGCCCTTCCAAGGTACAAAGACATATGGAATGTGAATAAAGTCTTAAAGATTCTGGCAGCCTGGACTCTTGGAGAGGGCTTAAGCCTCAAATCTTTGTCAAGGAAACTCACCATGTTACTTGCCCTTTTATCAGGTCAGAGGGTCCAAATACTCAATGCACTAACTTTGTCTTCAATGACCTTGTCTGAAACCAAATGTTTATTTACCATTGGCACACCACTTAAAACTACAGACCAGGTCACCACCTTCAGCCCATTGATTTTTTAGCACATCAGCCTGATCAGAATTTATGTGTTGTCACACAGACATACATTGATAGAACGTCTTCACTCAGAGGAGACACTGACCAGTTACTTATTGACTACCAGAAACCTCACAAGCCGGTGTCGACTAACACTATTTTCAGATGGATAAAAACTGGTCTAACCAATGCAGGAATTGACACTGGTGTGTACAAAGCCCACAGTACTAGAGCTGCTGTCGTTTCAGCTGCAAACAAGAAACAGGTCCCTGTTGACACTATCTTGTCTGCCACTGGCTGGAGCAACCTGAACACATTTGCTCAATTTTATTCTAAGCCCATCCAAGACAATAGCTGTGGTCACACTACAGACTTTTTACCTAGGTAAACACGACTTGTTGACAGTTTACCTACAGAAACTTGATTTTTTAAGTGTGACTGATTTTTCCCTAGGTAACTTACCTTGGGGAAATTTTATCGTCTGGGTCTTGGATATGTCTCAAGAACAATAGAGTTTCCCTTGAAAGCTACCCCAAAGCAATAGCTATGGAAAAATGAAATACCGAGGTTGCTAGCCAATAGACTCTCATCGGCGAAGGTCTTGATGACAGAACCGCACATAAATCACACTGTGAAAGAAATTTTGGGGGCACAAGTTGTCTACGTCTCGATCCCTACATCTTTGCCTTTCTTCACCTTGCACGTTGAATTAGCATAAGAAATAACAGCGAGATAAAAGAAAAAATGTCTCTTTGATCAGCTAGATCCCTGCACATTTTGCCTTCTTGAATTTACGCTCCAAAAAATTCAACTGGCATGAAAACTTTGGGAGCCGATATCAGAAGTGTGACCTTCCCAGAATTTTTACCCAGATAAAACAAAACCCGAGATGAATTTACCTCGGGAGATTTTTAATGAATTTGCCCTAGGTAAATCAGTTTTAACTAGGTAAAAGTCTATAGTGTGACCACAGCTATCATTAAAAATTTTGGACAAGAACTTCTAAAAGATGGGCATGACTTTTGACTGTTAATAAAACTTAGTTCGGCCTGATAATTTGGCCCTGATGTCTATGCATTTGATATTGTTTGGTTTAATTACCGCCAGTACTCTACTGTTTCAGGTTTTATTAAAAATATTGTTTACTCTTACATGTATGCTGATGTTTATGCTCATGATCATGACGCTTTAAAGTCTCACGTGACTCCTCAGCAACATTGACCAATGACAAAGTAGAATTGTAAAATTAAACGAGACTTACCTTAAGTTGAAGTTTGATTAAGATTCTACGAAATCATTGGTCTGGAGCTAAGGAGTCAGGTGCCCTCCCATGTGTGGACTACCCACCCTGTGGCTTTGCTACAGTCCTGATCATTTGCCCTCGAAGTGTGAACACTCTGGTTATGCACGCACATCTCACCTGACTCCTTAGCTCCAGAACGATGACTTTGTAGAATCTCCATCAAACTTCAACTTAAGGTAAGTCTCGTTTAAATTTGCAATTATAATTCAAAACAATTGGACATGCATGGAGTGTATGATATTATTATAGCAACAGATTTTCCAGTGCGTTCTGAGTTCAGAAGAGTGTAAGTAATTTGATTGTTTTGCTTTTGACACTTGTCAAATCGTGTTTTTTCTGAGGAATGTTGGAGTACAATGTAGTTCAGTCTTTTCTAAAACATGTTTCATTTAACTTTAAGGCAAACATATAAACCGCAATGTGTTTGCGCTAGTTTCATTTGGATTATAGGATCACAAACACTAGCAAAACCTTGAGCATAAAATACCATTTTTAAAAGTTGGCACTGCCTCCACGAAAATATATTTTAATAGACATTCATACTGAGATTACTTTCATGAAGTATAAAGAAGAGATTAAGGTTACAGCGACCGTAAACGAATTTTTAAGATTTCATACAAATCCTTCTAATCAACATTATGCAAATTACAATGAAATTAGAAGCCACATGAGGAGATTTATAATTCGAATCTACAGACGTCGTTCCTTCTTTAATAGCCTTATTTTCTGTTGAATGAATTATATCAATAAAACTACTTAAAGTAGTGGCAAATGTTGGAAATCCGCCTCTTTGTAACGGCGTTATAGCAGTTCCAAGTGGGCCAAAATCCCATACATTCATTGTAATTTTAGCCGTGTTTGATGGCGTCATAAACCGTGAAAATATCTATAGAGTTTCCCTCTACATCTTTAACCGTGCCTGATGGCCGGACATTTACTTGATTGTTTGCACACTACTAAGCACCGTCACAAAAGGGAAGTCGAACACTTTCAAGGTAAAACATCCAGTGCTACATTCATATAGCGTCACTGAGTCAAGGAGCCTTGGTCTCGGATTCTTCTTTACATTAAATTACTTGTAGCTCTGTAATATAAACTGAAATTACTACAAAAAGCCTTGTTTCAACTGTATATACTTACCGATTGCAGCCTTAGTCAGGCACCAGGCAGGCAGCACGACAGTAAAGAGGTTTCGCTTGAATCACGAAGGGAAAACTATCAAAGAGAAAACTTCCTGCTGTTCGTCCCTTACTGCGCATGCTGGGTTGACTTACGACCGCTAGTCAAAGGAACGAAGACGCTAGGCACGAGGGAGCACATTTCCTTAGGTCATGGCTAGGGGGTACACTTGAGTAGATTGGAAGGGAGTTGAGGGTCAGGAATCATATATCCGAAAAACCCAAAACCCCTATTATTATTATATCATTATTATTATTATTATCGTTATTATAATAATGAAAAAATTTTATTGACAACAATGCTAACTATTAAAATCCTATTTACAATTAATTCGCTTGAAAAAAAGGAAAAAACTATTCATTCAAAAACACTATTTACAATTCCTGCCGATTTAAAAAGCACTTAATTTAGCTTAAAAAGAGTTAATTTAACTAAGAAAAATTTATTATTATTATTATTATTATTATTATTATTATTATTATTATTATTATTATTATTATTATTATTATTATTATTATTATTATTATTGTCTCTATTATCACAGTCTTTGCTGGTGTTCTTTTTGTACATCAGCCGGGCGCAAACCATGCACCTAGAGCGTCAGTCACTCAAGTCAATCATTCTGTTCATACACTGAGCACCTTTCTGAGGATTCGTGCAGATCCCAGCATGCAGATCTTTTGAACCTCTGTCATATTAGCTCTTTCTGATACTTTCTTGATGTTTTCTACCATACCCTTCTTCACTGTACCAAGCGCACCAACAACCACAGGGATCACTACGGTTTTCATATGCCACATTCTCTGTATTTCTAGTTCTAGGTCTTTGTACTTGCATTTTTTTTTCAGTTTCCTTCAGTGCGATGTTTCTATCTGATGGGACAGTCATATCAATAAGTTTGCAGGTGGAATTCACTGAATCTTTAAGGATGATATCTGGTCTGTTCGCTGTTATAGTTCTATCAGTATTGACTGGCATGTCCCACATGATGGTGATGTTGTTATCTTTATTGTGTATCACGGTCTCTGGTTCGTGTTCGTACCATTTGTCTGTAATCGCTATATCATGATCTTTACACATGCTCCAATGGGGAAATGCTGCAGCATTATTGTGCCTGGAGATGTACTCTGTTTTGGCTAATACCTCACATCCAGATACAATATGGTCCACTGTCTCTTCATGTTGCGAACACAATCTGCATTTGCTCTCCACTTGCTGGCCACATATTACTTTCTGGTAGTTTCTGGTGTTTATTGCCTGGTCTTGAGCTGCAACAAGTAGTCCCTCTGTTTCTCCTTTCAAATTACTTGACAACCATTTGTTGGTGGTGACTGTGTCTACATGAGGCTTCTCTAGGATCTTTGGATACTGGCCATGCAATGCTTTGTTTTTCCACTTTTCTTCTTTCATTGACTTCATCCTGGACTTGAACACGTGTTTCAGGGCTTTAGCATTTTCAGAGGCAGATTTATCTTCTCTGTTCTCAATCTCTGGCATTGTTACTTCCCTTTTGAATTTAGTAGCATTCTTGGATATTGAATTTTTGGCTTTAGATCTTTTCTTTCTTTAGATCTTATTATTATTATTATTATTATTATTATTATTATTATTATTATTATAAGTGATACCGGTATAACTGAATCATAATTATTTTACACTATATGAAGCTACGGGTTTAAACCTTAAAATAATTTGATCAAAAAGGATTAGCTTTCTTGTCTTTCTTCGGTGCCGCATATTTATACGACGAAGTCACGGTTCGAGGTTGTCCGCTTTAGTGAGAAGTGATTCCACTTGCTTTTATTGAAATGAATGGATGAAAATTGATCGCTCTCTTTGAAACACAAATCATGTCCAGTAACATAGAAATCATGTCAAAGAGAAAGTAAAATCAACCATTAAAGCTGATCAGTTAAGTCGCGGTACAAACCGATTAATAAAATGGATTTACCAAGAGAGATACGAACTGCTCTTATAATTACAGAAAAGAAAACAACAACTTAATAAAAGTTTGCAAATCACTAAGCTGAAACTTATGTCATGTTAGGCCCCTTTAATTTCAAAAGTTGAATTTCTTATGAGTGCAGAACACCTGTTTTAGTCGATGAACGTAATTAAATATAGACTACGAGTAGTCCCCCATCCTTCCTCAGGGATAGTAGAGCGAGCGAAACGCGAGCGGGCGTGAAAATCACCCCACGCGAGAAAAGGCGACACGCGGCGGGGAGAGAGAAAAATGAGGGACTACAGACAAAGCCCAAGCTTTTGACCCTTCACGGCCGACTGATTTTGGAGTGTGAGGTTCGTATTTAATATGCTCTGGAGGAAAACGTTTTGACTGAGCAAATGTGATTTTTGCCGCTTATTTCATACTGAAAGGTCGTGACACGCATATTAATTTTCTGAGGTTATTGTTTATGGTCGGCATGATTTGCCCTCTGATGCAAGAGCATATTCGTTGACCTTTTTTGAAAAGTAAGGCTCTTCAATGCGGCTAAATAACTGAAATAAGGGTTTTGGGTTGTTTAATTTCTCCGGCGATTGCCTCCTGGATCTCAATAATTTTAAGCGATTTTCTTTTTGGCCGTGAGTGTGACGGTTTCCTGCAATGTTTTGTCACGCTGGGCCCAGCTCGTTAGCGTTTTTAGCGCGACGGATAGTGATATCCTAATCTCGAAGAATGGATGGCAGCTTAAACTAAAACTACATCAACTATGGAGAACTGCGATGTGACTCAGTCATGACGGCTCATGAATTTTAACTACCGCTTGTTTTTCTGGAGATAATGTGAGTCTTTGGACTAGAGTGCGTAGTTCCTCCCTTGGGGATAACTTTTGAAAAAGCTTACATTTGTAACAGCCTTGCGAATGTTCTGTTATTCCTACTTTGAGATTAGGCAAGACCATGGTTTCGGTTCTCCACGCGAACCTCATCAGTTTGCCGGGTTGGCTTTCTTCTTAGTTGCTGCTACAAGAGCAACTCTAGTTATTTGTTCTGTGCTGTTATTTGTTCTGCTCTAGTTGTTTGTTCCGCAAATTGTGATTATGTCAAGTGTTGATAGCGGCTAGCGCGTTTTTGACAGATGTTGACAGATTTCCATGGAAGAGCCAATCAGAGTTTTGCGTTGTGAGAGCAACGCATTAGTTCAAAAGCTTAGGCTTTGTCTGTAGTCCCTCATTTTTCTCTCTCCCCGCCGCGTGTCGCCTTTTCTCGCGTGGGGTGATTTTCACGCGCGCTCGCGTTTCGCACGCTCTACTATCCCTGAGGAAAAATGGGAGGACTACTCGTAGTCTAAATTAAATACGGCAGTTGATTCAGACGTCGGATATGATGGTGCCGAATTTAACTCCGTTGGCTGTAAATATTCCCAGTCTCTAGAAAAATTTGTTATCCAATATGGATAAGGTTTCTATAATTAATGCATTATATTCGTGCAATGCAACATTTTGAATCAAATGTAGTCCAGTTCTGGCCCCTCTCGCTTTGTCACGCAACGTTGTGAGAGAGAGAGACTAAGGGACGGACCATTAGAAAAGTTATGGGGGGTGGGGGGGGGGAAATACCAAAAAAAAA